ACACACACACACACACACACACACAGTACCTGCAAGAAGGAGAATGCCGCTCCCTCTGAGACATCCATGACGATGTCACCCAGCTTTAGCTCCACCTTTCCTGACTTCCTGATCTGCAGTTTACCCAATAATCCTTCAGGGAACTGTGAGAGCACAGGACAGCCTTCCTTCACCACAGCCTCCTGAGGAGAGACACACAACCTTTAAGAGTGGGCTGATACATATAGCATTTTTTGATTTAAAAAAGTCAACATATGATATGTTGTCATATTTTACAAATTTGATGTTGTTACAACAAAATAAATATAAATATAAATATAGTCTCTGTTGAAGCTTTTGGATATCCAGGACTCTGTTCTAGCACATCATGGATAGTTTTCCCTAAGGACCCTGAGTAAGGAGAGTGCCACAACCTCAGTTGTACAAAAGTGATGGCAGAAATGTCACACAGAGCAAGTTATACAAAAATTCTGTGAATGGTGAGCGATAGCACTTAAGGGAAGTAAAAGTCTTTAGGACTATCACAAATCATGTTTTTGGAAACAACTGCTCAAAGGTGCTAAGAAGTGCACAAACACAGACCCTTAATGATATGGATTGGCAGCTTCTCTGGATACCTTTTGTACATGTTTATACAGTTAACTCACTTGTGCTTGAAGGTATGCAGTCCTCTTGTCTTCAAGCTTGCCTTCCTTCTTTGCAGATTTCTCTACTGTAGATCCCTGAGTGGGGTCGACCTTCAGTCCACATGCTCTGTCCGGCATACAGTCAGGCAACTGCATGAAGAAAAGCTCCTCTCTGCCAGACAGGCTGAGATCCTGCAGCAGTTCTCCCAAGGTCAGCTTCTCTGGTGTGGGCAGCTCATTCCTGCTGTGGCTTGCTCTACTCATAACTCCAAAGGATGGAGGCCTGAACAGAGGGGGGTTCTCTAAACCTGTCAGAGTGACATCCACAAATGTTTTTTGATCACACACACATGGGGTCTACAGAACAGGGAAGGAAGACATTTTATGGGTAAATGTTTAAAGGACACTTGCATCAATCCCACAATTGAATATATCCATGGCTTATCTATTGCAATAGCCACTTACTGAGCCTGAACACAAAATCCTTCAGCACTGCATTCTCACTACTACACTGCTGCCTGCTTTTACAATTGTGGGCAGCTGTGGCTCAGGTGGTAGAGCAGTTGTCGCTTAATCGCAAAGTTGGTGGTTCGATCCCCCGCCCCTCCACAGTTGAAGTGTTCTTGGGCAAGACACTGAACCTGAAGTTGCTCCTGATGGCAGGCAGCACCTTATGGTGCTCTGTGGCCATTAGTGTATGAATGTGAGTGTGAATGGGTGAATTAGAAACACATTGCTTTAAACACCACTAAGGTAGAAAAGCGCTTTATAAGTGCAGACCATTTACATTTATAGCTCCCTCATGGAACACCTCCCTCCCCTTAGCCTCGACCTGTACAGCACTTAGATATATACACATTTCTGCCAGGGGGCAGAGCCTGACACACATGCACAGATAATGTATTGAGCCAGTGTTTGGTTAGCATAGTGTCAGCAGCAGTGGTGATAGTCAGAGGTGGTTTTCTCACATGTGGTGGTGGTCAGTGTCTGACACTTGGTAAAGCTGCTGGACTGACAAAGAGGCAGCTGGATGGGCTTCAGCTTGGCATCATTCCTCAGACCTGGATCATCTATAAACTGTAGGGGCGCAATTTATAACATAATATTAGTTATGAACCAAAAATGAGATGAGGGTGATTATTATTATTATCATTATTATAGATGATGATTAAACTTCACTGACTCACATTACAAACTAATGCTGTGCAGTTAAACACTGTTCAAACTCTCAAAGCCTAAAAAGCTGTGACTATATTCAAGTGACTTGCAGACAAGAGAGCAGCCACATTTAACTCTGTATAAGACAACAAGAGGTTCAATTGATGCAAAACCCATGAAGCTGTCCTGTAGCTCAACTAATTTTTCATGCAGAGACAGGAAACAGAAAATAAGCTTCACATGGGAAAAAAACTGCCACAGAAAAAAAATCTGACGGCAACTAAAAATCAGTCAAAGCACAGTTGCAGCAGTAATCAGGAGGTATAGAACAAGTCATAATACCACCAATCAGAGCCAGAGCCAATCGGAGTGGTTGGCCCCCTAAATGACGCCACAGAGAGTGCAATAGTTGCACAAGCTACCTCTGAAAAACAGACGACAGGTTGCCTCAGACTTGGCACAGAGGTTATTAAAGGAAGTCAGAGTTTCTGTGACAGCTCACATTGTGAAGAAAAGTTCCTAGTGTCAGCCTTTATGCATGAGGTACAAGAAAAAAGTGAAAACCATAACCTGGACAAGCATGTCAACTTGACTTTAATAGAACACTTTTGGGGGTATTTTAAAGAGAAAGGTAAAGCAACACAACTCTTACTGCAAAAAGAGGTTTAAAATTTTTTGTTTGTTTGTTTGTTTTGTTTTAATATAGTAAAATTTTTAAATGTTCTTTTTTGATTTTACAACAGAGAAGAGCTTAAAATTATTCTACAACTGCAACTACTGAAAGGTGGTACAATTTTGATTCATGATTCAAGACTGTGTATTTTGTTGCTGTGTATTTTTGAAGGAGGCAGCTAGTATAAGTACGAGAAACATCAACAGCAAGGCACTTGACTATTGTTTAAGACAGACTTGAAAATTTGTGAACCTGTCCTTAAAAGTTTACAGGGATGAAGGAGGCACTCACGTCATCTCTCTGTAGTATACTGAGTATCTTGTTTTCATCTTCATCGTCCTCTGACTCTTTCCTCTCTTTCTTCACCAGCTTGCAGACAGGAGAGGTAGTAGAGTCATGCACATCTGTAACACCACGCCACCCTGTAGCGAGAACCGTAGTTTGTGAAAAGAAGAAATGCATCTGTAACTAGACCTCTGGTGTGCATGTTTACATTCAAATGAAGAAAAAGGATATTACAGAAGAGCCACGCTGTGCACCTGTTTTGCGCACAGTGTCGGCAGGACCCTGTTCAAAGATGGAGTGAGATTGGATGGTCTGAGGCTTCTCTTTCCTCCTCCTTCTGTTCTCTCTCCTCCTCTCATCTCTATGTCTTCTCTCCTTTTCAGGAACCACATGGACCTCTTCCTTTAACCTAGGGAAACATGATCATGATCATAAAACACCACATGGTGACAGCCCAAAACATGCATTGCTTAAAACTAGCATTATTAGGAAACATCTTACTGATGGTCACTCACTCATCTTTACTTTTCCTGACAGCGTGGACATTAGGCTCAAAGGTTTTCTTTGGAAAAAAGAAAACAGAGTCAATACAAAGTGCTATAAATATCCAGTTTTTCTTTACTGGGATTCAAAATAAAGATGCGACAGGATAGATGGGATGGGATTCAGGAACATGGTATATAATAAGGTGTAAGAGCCAGGAGGAGCCTATCCCAACCAACTTAGGGAGTGGACACCCTGGACAGGTCGCCAGTCTATCGCAGGGCTACACTTAGAGACAGACAACCATGCATACTCATATTCACACCTATGGACAATTTAGAATCACCAGTTAACCTCAACATGTTTTTGGGCTGTGTAGGAGGAAGCCAGAGAACCCAGAGAGAACCCACGCTGCACGGGGAGAACATGCAAACTCCACGCAGAAAGATCCCGGTGCCCCCACCAGGTCGCGAACCGGCGACCTTCTTGCTGCGAGGCAACAGTGTTACCAACTGTGGCACCTTGCAGCCCAAGACAAAAAAGTTCCTCACTGAAATGCAGAAATTGAACCTGACCTATATGTAGGAAATGTTTTCTCTTAATGTTTCTTAAGATTCATTGTCATTTTAATCCAGTAAGAAGCAGAGAAAACTATTACATCTATATTTGTCTATTTAAGGCACCTTACAGAAATAAAATCTTTACAGACATCTCTTTGACATGACTTTACTTTGTTTCCTTATATTTGCCATTTTTATATTAGATTGAATTAGATTAGATACAACTTTATTGTCACTGCACAGAGTAAAAGTACTAGGGAAAATAAATGCAGTTTAACATCTAACCAGAAGTGCAAAAGAAGCAAGAAAAGTTCAGTGCAAGGTATTTGTGTAATTGAAATAGTTTTAAGAGCATTATGAATGTGCCAGGCAAATACAGTATGGGCAAGATGAGCCGTATAAACAGGGGATCTAAGTATGCACGCTATATGAATATTAGGGCGACACAGTTGTGCAGTGGTGAACAGTGTCTCCTGTCAGCAAGAAAGATCTGGGATTAAACTTGCAGACCAGTTAGGTCCTTGATGTGTGGTCTTCTCCCTGTACCTTGTTGGGTTTTCTTCAACATCCACACAGCCCAAAGACATGAAATATGACAAGCCTTTTTTAATCCCACAGCAGGGATATGCAGTGGTACAGCAAACAAAGGGGCAAGCCCAAATGTGTAGGGAACATCAGTTGAAAACACAAATATACACTATAACTGGTGACATTGTACAGATTCTCTCACAGCTGGAAATTCAGATATTGCACAGATTCCTCTGGATGTGGAAAATAATGACATTACACATATTATACAAAAACAACAATTTTATGACACAGATTCCTCCATGTGTCGAAAACTGACCTAAGAAATACAGATATTGCACAATTTATTGTATTTGTGGAAGAAACTGACATTGAACAGAGCTATATAAATGTACAAAATATTCATAATACACAGGTCTGAGTGTTTGCCTGGAAGGTAACTTGAGGCTCATGGGGGTCAGTGTCTGTCTGGTATGTCAGCCCCGTCTGTCATGGACCAGCTTTCGTGTCTGGATTACCTTTGTTTTCTTAAGGGCTCCCCCCAGCGTCAGGTCCCTGGTTCTGAGGGACGTCAGTCTTCCAGGGGGAGGCGGGGAGGCCAAGCTCCTGACGCGGCCTGGGAGTCCTCTGCCCGCAGTGAAGCTCAGTCCGGAGGAGCCGGGGACACCTGCTGCGTCCCCCAGCTCGGTCATTGTTGGAGCCTGGTGCGCGCTTCTTAATGCTGTCTCGGGTCTGTAGGCGTTTCCCACAACGAGACACCAATGCTGTTATTGATTAGAAGCCGTTCGTAAGCCGGTAGTTGTTAGCTAGGACACTTGGCACGGCTCTCATCACTGGCACAGTGCTTCTGAGGCATCACTCCCTTTCTCTTCAATTCTCTCTGTGCAACCAAAACGTCTCGCAGCCCCTGAACGCCCCGCTGAGCTCAGGTCCAGACCCAGCAGCTCGTCGGACTCCATTTTGTCCCCAATAGAGATATAAACACAGACTGCGCTCGAATGCAAACTGTTCCCCCCTAAGGCCCCAGATGGCTCCGTTAGCCCCGCAGAACACACCAACCACTAGCGGAACTTATGTTCGGTGTCGGTGCCCAGACGGGATCCCTCCAATGACCGTTCCTACGGCACATCTTGTTGGTCCAAACCCGACGGAGTGTGTCGGAAACATCCAGTGCCGAGTGAAACCGTGTTCGATATCCTGCCGGTGGTCGCAGTCTTGCTGCAGCCCCAGATTTACCGTGTGTAGGAGGTCGTTAGAAGCCTGCAGTTTCCTTCCTCCTTACGTTACTGTTGTTCTATACGGTACTATTCTGGTGGAGCCACAAGGTGGCGGTGTTTGCGTGGAATGTGACAAACACACACACACACATACACAAACAGGAATTTGAAGGTCCCAAAAGTGGTTCTTTACGGAGCCCGTCTGGTAACATCGATAAGAAATAGAAATAAATCGTTCCCACGCATTAGTAAATCGTGGCCACGAGTTATTAATGCGTGGGAACGAAATAGTTAAATTGTGGCCTCGCATGACTAATATGAAGAAACAAGAGAAGTTGCGGAGCAAATTTCACAGTGTGGTCATACCGGCTGTCGATTAAGGATAACGGGCGTACTTGCATGAAACATGGAGCATTTTGATTTCATTTTATTTTATTTTAACCTTGGAATGAACTACACCGATATCCTGCGATCTCTTGCGATGAAACACCGTGTGATAATTATGTCGTACCCACGCATTAATATCTCGTGGCCACGACTTAACTATATCGTTCCCACGCATTCATAGCTCGTGGCCACGATTTACTAATGTGTGGGAACGAGTTATTTTTATTTCTTATCGATGTCACCAGATGGGCTCCGTAGTTCTTTGTAGTGAGCCATATAACCATTTTGGTCAAATAACCTTTTGGGCTCATCTAGAGGTTCTTGAACAGAAGCACTGCTTCACACAGAACCTGTCCATCTGTTTTGATAATCATTTAAGTAATTTTGAGTAAGAATTTGCAGGTTCAATAGAACCAATAGAATATTTGGGGTTCTGGGCTTTGCCTAGGGCTGATGAGCTATCAAGGGTGTACCCTGCCTTTTACTCTTAGAACCAGAGAGACATTTGTAGATACATTTAAAAAACATTACTTTTATGACTGCACATGTGTACTTCTATGATAGAAGTGTACTCCTAAAGGTATAAAACTTGTTTCATGATTATGTGTTGATAAGAGTTAACTGATATCCCATATTAACTGCAAACATGAATTAATTATTAATTAGGGGTGTATCCTAAGATTGTGCAAATATAGTCTCTTATTTGCCCGAGGGCAATGTTGCTGACACATACATATTAAGAGGGCACAGAAAAACAGGCACTCTTGTAGACATGAGTGTTGCAGTGAAAGAAAGTCGATTTTCATTTAAAACAAGGTCAGAATCCTCGGCCATGCTGTTGCTCTGCTTTGCTCTACTTGGTCTAGTTGCCAGCTCTCCCTGCACTGCTGCCCCAGTGCAAGACTCAGTTCTTGCTCTGAAGTCCGTTTTCACTGGGTCCACCAGGAATAAACTGCTGCTCATCTCCTTCGATGGCTTCCGCTGGGATTATGACAGAGATGTTGAAACCCCTAACCTGGATAAGATGGCCCAGGATGGGGTGAAGGCACTGTATGCCACTCCAGCCTTCCTCACCATTACCAGCCCTTCTCACTTTACAATGCTGACAGGTAAAAACTGTAGTTTGTACACAACATTCATATATGACACTGTGGGAAGTGTTATAAAATTATGTAAAATGTGACTAACTTATTTTGGATGTTTTTAAACAGTTAAAACAACATCTGTGTTTGCTTGATCATGTGTTTATTGGATAGTAGTTAAATATATGATTGGTGCTCACGGGTATGTGTCTTCTTGTTGTGGCGATTTCAGGAGAGTGCATGCATGGATCAATAATTTTAGTGTTTTAAATAATGTGTGTGATATTCCTGGCTCTAACCCAGTACTAGTTTCTGTTTTTGGCTCACTTATTGGTCCTCCAAAGCCTTGTTTGTAGACACTAGCTTCTAAGTTTTAGTTTGAAAATATGAGCTGACAGAAAAGCATTAACAATATTTGCAAAGAAATAATTTTAGATAATTTGACTGCCAGCAAGACCTTAAAAATACATCAGATGTACAGTTGGGATGTTAGGCACATGTCTGTGTCTGTCTTTGTTGTGGACAATGTGGGCTATGTAGTGGACAACACTTACTCTGAGTCATACTGCTTTGCAGATTATCATTATCTGGGTAGCATTTTAAATGAAACACCCAATGAATTACAGACAAAGGCAATATTTTTTTTATTACCCTTGTAAACCAGCTGGAAAATAATTTTTGTCTCAACAGGGATTGCATAATAAATACTGGGATACTTATGTTCTACCTCTTTAAGAAGGAACATCTTAATCACTTGTGGCTACGATATGTTTTGGGGAGCTCATAACAAGCAAGATCAGCTTTTAGCCACTGCTACATGCTGCTATTTCCACAATGCACTTTAAGAGTGTCTGTTGTTTCTGTGTGTTCCAAAACTTTGCTTAGATGCAGAACAAACTTGCTCCTCTGGGATTGCTTTTGTGATTATATGTGAGCACAAAGAGCAGAAGAGAAGCAACAGACATAAACATCAGATAAGGAGTGACAGCAGTGAACATCTTTATATTTTCACAGCTTTTATTTTACATATCCAGGTTTATAAAGCACACTCAACACAATAAAAATGGTAATAATACACAGGGTGTTAAGGACTTTACGTTAGCTGTTTATGGTGTGATGAATGGCAACGAAAGATGTGCCATTATGAAAACATGCACCACAAACTTTAAAGTGATGTAAACATCACAAAGAAAGGTTTTGTACTTGGAATACAGTAGTCCTTCATAAAAAATGCAGTTTCATTTGCCGTTAACAGCCTTCAGCTTTTACTTTGCTGCCCTTTGAATGGATTTAACTTTCTAATAGCGTATAGTGTAATAGTATAACAAAAACTGTCCACCCGAGCCTTATAGAAGAAAATGTAAACTATAAAGTTTAAATTCTGCTATGTGCAACGGGTTCTCCGGCTTCCTCCCACAGTCCAAAAACATGTTGAGGTTAATTGGTGATTCTAAATTGTCCGTAGGTGTGAATGTGAGTGTGCTTGTTTGTCTGTCTATCTGTGTAGCCCTGTGATAGACTGGCGACCTGTCCAGGGTGTCCCCTGCCTTCGCCTTAATTCAGCTGGGATAGGCTCGACCCCCCCTCACACACACACACACCGGCAGCGGTGTATAGATAATGGATGGATGGATGGATGTGCAACCAGCAGGATGCAACTTTTGTCTCCCCCTTCTGGCAGTGAGAGTAATTACACAAACATTTTTGATATGCTGGATGATATATGTCTTGCTATACATCACTTTCCTTTTGAGACTGTATTCCTTCCTTTGAATGATGCGTTTGTTTTTCATCTGGATCATCAGAAACTTCTCCTGGACTTCTAGGTCTTTCTGTCACAGACCCCATCGTACCCCCAGTTAATGTAGCCCATTCTGTCTTTGTCACTACCTTTGCTTCAGTTCTGGCAAACCACTTATTGCTGGTTGACATAAAAAACATTACTACCAGTGTGCCAGGAATGTTGCCACAGACACCAGATATAAAACTCCAGCATACTGAGAAATTTACTTGCCTTCAGAGTCCTATCCATTCAATCACATCACTTTGTCTTACTTGCTTTTTTTCCCCATTTTCATCAGGACGCTACATTGAAAACCACGGAGTAATCCACAACATGTGGTTCAACACGGCCACTCAGGAGAAGAAGCAATACTACATGACCCAGTTTGTTAGTTCCTACTGGGACAATGGCAGCTTACCCATCTGGATAACAGCTCAGAGACAGGTTCCTCAGAGCCAGCTATCTGTTCTCTAGCCGCCTACCTCTAAAATCTCCTCTCTTATCTGACTCTAATCACTTTTATGTGGAATAACAATCACTAAATTACTGTCTTCCTTTTTCCTTCTGTGTTGTATACTCTTTTAAGTGTTTTTTCCTTTTCTTTTTTCAGGGCCTCAAAGCAGGCTCTCTGCATTTCCCTGGCACAGCAGCCACCTACAGAGGAGAGAATGTCACGGTGAAGCAAGTGGAACCTCATTTCTATGATCATTCCAATGAGACAGATTGGAGGCTAAACATCAACAAGGTGATTGGTGAGTGGTTCCACCAACAAGACCTGGACTTTGTCTCCTTGTACTTTGGAGAACCAGACCTGGTTGGGCACAAATATGGGCCGGATTCCCCAGAACGCCAGGAAATGGTTCGGCAAGTGGATCGAACTGTAGGCTACATCCGGAACAAGATCCAAGACCATGGCCTTACTGACCGGCTCAACATTATTATTACTGCTGACCACGGGATGACTACAGTTCTACGAGGAGGACTAGTGGAAGAGATCATCCTCTCTAAGATCCCTGGCTTCAGCTTCACAGATATCCAGTTCCAACTGTTGGACTATGGGCCGCTTGGAATGCTGCTACCTAAAGAGGGGATGCTGGAGAAGGTCTATCAGGCTCTGAAAGGAAGTCACCCTCATCTTCATGTATATAAAAAAGAAGAAATGCCAACAAGGCTGCACTATAGTAAACATCCAAGACTCCTGCCCATCATCCTCATCACTGATCCTGGATACATTGTCAATGGGGTGAGAGAACATACAGTGTGAGGTCGTTTAGCCCATTTCAGTGGGGTGTGAGTGCTACTTGGAGAACCCTGTTTGTTTGTGTGTATGCATAACTGCCTAAAGGTTCTATGGGTGACACGGTGATGAAGCGGCTACCACTGTCACCTCACAGGTTCAGACCTTGACCTGGGGTCTTTCTGTGTAGAGTTTGCATGTACAGTTGCTCCAGCTTCTTCCCACAGTAAACTGGTGGCCATCGTGTGGTGTGAGTGTGCTTGGTTGTCTGTCTCCGTATGTGGCCTTGCTGGCGACCTGTCTAGGGTTTAGTCAGCCTTCGCCCTAAGTCTGCTGGGTTAGACTCCAGCCTCTTTGCAACCCGACAGAAGATGAAGCGGTGTATAGAAAATGGATGGATTATTAAAGACATTTCTATCTTTATGGAGCTAGGTGGTGAGTTTCCCACATTCAACCCAGATAAGACGGGTAAATACAGGTTTGCTTTGGTGGGGCTGCAACCACTACTGGGTAGCTTTCGGGTTTAATTTAAAAATGATTCCACGATCATGCAGCATCAGCAGTCATCTAAAGCAAATGGCACTTAACTTAATGTCCCAAGAATAATGTGGTTGGAGATAATTGTTGTTGATATTTGTATTTTTAGGACATGAAATACTGATATAGTTAATTATACATACATAACATTGTCAATATACCAGTGGCAGTAACTACGTGGTTGACTGTCCAAGATGTAGTACAGCTATGGTTACAGACATGAGGTTCAAATATAATTTGTTAACTGAAGAAATGGTGAAAACACACAACAAACAAAGTTAAAGATGCACTAACTGAGAGCCTTACTTATTTTTCAAAATTTGTAATATCTGATAATATCATTATTGTGAATTGTTTTCGGCACAGTTATCATGTAGGGAAACTCTGATTCCGTAGCAGTCCAGCTCTGACCTAACATTTCCCGTTTGTTACCTTACTGTGCTCTATCAAATAAAAAAAATAAAACCTCCAAAATTACTATATGATCATGTTCTTCACGAAACATTTTATTTTTGTGTTTACAGTTGTTACCTCTGAACTTCAACAACGGAGAGCATGGCTATGATAATGAAGTCATGGACATGAAAGCTTTCTTTAGGGCGGTGGGGCCTGACTTTCAGAGTAACCTGACGGTAGATCCCTTTGATCTTGTTGACTTGTACCCACTGATGTGCCACCTACTGGGGATAAATCCAGAGATCCATGATGGACACTTGGACAAGTCCAAAGACATGTTGGTCCCCCAAACAACCATAGGAGGAGACAATAATGGTAAGCGTAGATACATGAGTTCCATTAATTTGCTGCTCAACATTATTATTATGTATATCTGTGTAGCAATTCGTGACTCAGACTTTGAAAGATAATTGTTGCTTACTTTGACAAAAAGCATCATTGAAAGGGGATGGATTGGAGAAATATGTACCATACTCAATAGGATGCTACAGGCCTCATATGCAAAAAAAAAAAAAAAAAAGTCTCTGCAGGTTCTTTATATTCCCATATATTTCAAAACCAATAAACCATGTGCACGAGAGTCCTTCTCTGGCGATGGTGGAAGAAATATCTACTCCAATATAGGACATAGAAGGCTCCCATGTTCTACGAAACATATTGCCTATAGAGTGAGCGACACAGGTTTGCTAATCAAGAGAAATATATTGCAGTATGACCTTATGCCACTGTGTTTTATTTGGGACTTTGTTACCCATTTCAGAAGTATGCACTTCCTTGCACAGAATGTAGCATTCTATAAAGATTTGCTTCATATTTGTCAGTGATGACACAATTTCTTATTCCAAGTAGCAAGCGCAGTGGGTCATTTTCTAAATTAGTGGCCAAGATACTGTTAATTTCTTGACCTATAATGCATGGAGCTTTCAATGTCTAGCCAAAAAGATGTAGGATCATGAGCATGCAGACAGATATAAGGCATAGATGAGAAGGTCCTTGATACATTCGAATTTTAGACTGGTCTAGATCATCTTCTGAAGATGAGAGACGTAATCTTGACATTTTAAGGCATGGCCTCTTTTGAGCTCATGCGAAGGAGCTAAACCAGCTGTTCAACTTATTTATAACGATGTGGAAGAAAAAATTGATTTAGCAGCCCACGTAGGATGTTCATCTTCAACAGAGCAACTTGACCCAACCAGGAAACAGGAAGGGCATTCCACCTTTCTAGATCCAATCTTATACATTCAAATAGCGGAATAAAATTAGTTCTGTACATTTGGGCAAAAGCAGCAGTTACATTTATTCTGAAATATACAAACCCAGCAGATGACCATTTAAAAGGGGATGGAGTTTGAGGGTTTTGTTTAAAACCACAGAGTGGGATTACTTCTAATTTATTGAAGTATATTCTGTATCCTTAGAAAGCACTAAATTTATTGGTAACCTCAACAAGAGCAGAGGTAACCTTAGGTCAGGTTAAGAGGATAAGGCGCCATCGGCATAAAGGGTTATCTTATGTTTCCTGTTCGCTATGGTTAGGCCATGTATGTTATTATTTGTCCTACTTGTCTCAGCCAGCGGCTCTATGGCCAAGGCAAACAGAAAAGGTGCAAGTGGACAGTCCTGCCTTGTTCCGTCATGTTGCAAAAGTTGGACGACCTCAGAACATTTGTAAGCACAGCAGCAAGAGTATCATTATATAATAATTTAACCCATCCAATCAACTGCTGGCCAAGACCAAATTTATTTAATGTGGGAAACAGATAAGGTTATAATGTTATCACTAGACCTTCGACTGATTGCTGATGATAGAATTGAATTGCATGCAACAACCTGCGCATATTGTTGCGTCCCTAAAGCCTGTTTGGCCTTCTTTTATGAGAAGTGGCACTAAATCCTGCAGCTGCAGAGTGAATATCTTTGAGAGGAGCTTCAGATCAACATTTAATAATGAGATTGGCCTGTAGGAGACGCAGTCCTAAGGCTGTTTAGATCTCTTCAGAATCGAGGAGATTTTTGCTTCCCTCACAGACATCGGTAGTGAACCTTTTCAAATAAGTCATTAAATATATTTAGCATAAGATTGATTAAAATGTTGTGAAACTCCTTTTAGAACTCACGACTGAGTCTGTCTTTATCTGTTGGGTGCAGAGCTCTCAATACATCCGTAAAGAGCAAATCTTCACATAGAGCATCAATAACTTTAGCTTGACGAGAAGGAAACCGTCTGCCTAAGTGGAATTTGTCCATAGCCGGGCTTAGATGGCAATTAAAATCTCCTCCAGCAAGTGAGTTTCTCACATTAAGATCTGACAGTTTAGTAAATGCCGTCTTCAAAAAATCACTTGAATGGCCTGGAACGTAGTAAACGTTAATGACTGCAGTCTCCTCCCCATGTAAGATGCCCCCAACGATTAAGTAACGTCCATTCGGATACTTGATACAGTTTAGAAGTTGACAATAGCAAGTTTAAAAAAAAAATAAAAAATGCTACACCCTTACCTTCTTCCTGTAAATGAAGAAAAAAAAAAAAAAAACCTGTCCAAACCCCCTTGTTGTAATTTTAAATGTTCTGTATCATTCAAATGAGTCTCCTGTGGCAACCAAAATTCAACCCCATCTCTTTTAAGAGAAGTCAACCTTCCTCCGCTTAACAGGTGTGTGCATTAACATTCCAGGAGCACAGATTTAAAGTTGATAAAGTCATGAAATATAAGGTGAAATATTCGCTGAGTACCTCATTCTCTTATAAATTACCACTTTAAGCAAATAAAGAGTGAGCTGAGAAACAACTACAGAACAGATAAAAAGGTTTATATGTAAGATGTAACTTGCCAAACCTTGGCATCAAATTAAAATACTGTCCTCTTCTCTATGTAGAACAGAAAACAGTAGTAATGGGCACCTCTAACAGCAGAAAAACAAACTCACACAAAAAGCAGAGAGGTATCACCATAAATTGTGTCTACATAACACTGAATCAGTTGCACTCCATTAATTTCAGTATTATAATACATTTTTGAATCAGTTGAATTTTTATTTTTTTATTTTTTTAAAGTAATTTTTTGGTCTTTGTGCCTTTATGCGATAGTGCAGTGAGAGAGAGACAGGAAAGTGGGGGAGAAGAATGAGGGAAGGACGTGTGGGAAAGGGCCATGAACGGAATTCGAACTCATGACCTCGACATGGGACGCCAGCTCAACCAGGTGAGCTGTAGCGGAATCATTTAAAATTTAACACCTTAAATTTCAAACGATTCCGCTATAGCTCACCTGGTGATAATGCACTGCGTACTCACTTCTGTTGCATATACTCTGTTAAAAACAAGAATCTGGGCACCCCTATAGTTCAACTAGTTGAGTGGGCAACCCATGAACAGGGGGCTATACACCCCGATACAGCGGTCGTGGGTTTGACTCCAGCTCACGACCCTTTGCTGCAGGTCTCTCCCCATTCTTCTCTCCCTTTCCTGTCTATATACTCCTCTAAATAAAAAGGCAAAACGCCTCTCAAAACAAACAAACAAACAAAAAGAAACAAGAATGCAATGAAAACATGTAATATTTTTCGTAAACATAGTATTACCTCACAGCCTATATATAGTCGGGCTTGATTTCATCTCCATATACAGTTCTCTTTATGAATTTAGTTTTTTACCTACATGTCTCCTGTGCCAGTAGTGAATAGCCATAGACAGAGCAGCTACACTTTAACCAACAGTCTCAGCCTCCCAAGGGCAACATTTATTACTTTTATTTAACTCAATAATAGGTATACTAGATATCATGTTTGCACTTTGAATCTTTTATCCGTTGAACACAAAACAGTCTTTTGCCATAAAGATTATCTAAATCTGAAAACGTGATTACATGGTGGATTTACTACTCACTATTACCCTGCAATATATCATACTGTTATGATAAGAACCCTTAATCTAGTCCTGTGACAGGCATCAGCTGAGTGACCCTGACATCACATAGTTTACAGTACTTTGTCTTACAGCTGTTAAGTCATGCCTTATCAGGGATTTCTGCACCAAGTTTTTTTTTTTTTTTTCGTTGACTGTGTGTTGGATCCTTTAAGTCTGCTATCTCCTTTCGCAGCCTCATGCATGTGTTCTGTCTCTCTGCAGATCCAGGAAAGAATATTCACATAGAGGTGCCGATTGGTCTTTCAGCAGCGATGGGATTTCTGGTCCTTGTGTTCATCATTATTACGGCTTACCACATGCGCAAAAGGACCAAAGCATAAACATTTTGACATTTATCCTCAAAGGTAAAGGGTCACAAGAAAAGAGAAAAAAAAACAACTCACAAGGTTTGTTTTTATTTTTAACATAAAATATCTGTTGTACAAAGCATGTCTTCTGCAATAATAATAATAATAATAGATGTTATTTGTATAGCACTTTTCAAAAACTATTTTACAAAGGGCTTTGCAGGCATTAAAATTAAAAACATAGACAAAGACAATGAAGACTAAAGAACAAAATAATTAATCTAAGCTGAATCATAGATTACTACCACAGCTGTTTATAAATTAAAATGTATTCTGTGTAATATTCACTTTGTTCAGCTGAGAATGAATGCAGAAGAACTGGGTTTTCATCAGACGAAATAAATGTTGTGTTACATATGTACTTATTTGGTGGGTTTTATGTCAGCTTGAAGCGATAATAAATTATATTCTACAAATACAAAATAGTAAAAGGTATTGTTGCTGAATTCCTTCTATTCCTGCACTTTCATGTAATGGTTGGAGATCAATAGATTTGGTACCAAGTGTGACCTGCTCAAAAAGTTAACAATGCTTTTTTATTAGCCCATTAATGGCCGTTATCATCGCAGATCATTCCCATACTTGTGGGCCCATTTTATCGTGCTCTATTACCACCTAATTTAGTACCACTTTACAAGAGGAACAGAAGTCCATATTTTGAGGTTTGGAAGTCTGTGGATCTAAATCAGCAGAATTTTAGTCAGGTGAGTTAGCTTTGAGGTCTGTCTCAAACTCAAATTCTAGTTTTTAGAGATCTACATGCACATATTCACATGACCACAAAAGGCTGTGGATGTTATCGTGGTCACTTTCTGTTAAATGACAGACTGTTTATAAAGGATCTATGAAGTCTCATGGTCATAAAAGAAAATGGAAAGAACATGGAAGTTCCCTTCACCTGTATTCTTCCTACAAGCTAGTGGGGTGACAACTCTTCTTGCAAACAGAAATCTGATTATCCAGAAATCTATGGGAAATTGAACCGTCCTAAAAAGCTTAGGATCTCAGTTGCTGATTTCAAGAATTTACGACCATAGTGTTCTGTTATAAAAATTCAGTGTTATATGTTATGATTCAATGCTCTTTGTCCAACTCTTGAAATACAGAAGGTTGTAAAAGATGGCGTGCACAGAACTTGCAAAAAGTAACCAAGCCTGTGCTCACCAGATGGGAGCAGAGGAGAAATCTTTTGTGTGCCTGTATAAATGCTACATTTGACTCTGATGTCATTTGTGTTTTTTTTTATGCCTGTATAAATGCTACAACGTTTCTTGACTCTGTGGTCACTTGTTCAGAATCTGTACTGTGCATGTGATTCCTTGCTGCAAGTAAACCTTTGCTTTGACTTAAGAGACAACTCTGTGTATTGATTTGGAGTAGTTAGGACTCCACTAAAAAATTTTCCTGACATTTTTGGTCCTTCGATCCCAGTATCCCTTCTCTGGACAGGTTTGGGGCCGAAACCGTGCATTAGGGAGTCCAGGACACACCTAATAATACTTCTACTCGTTGAGTAGACGAGAGACAAGGTTTTACTACAATACGGAGAACTGGGGGGGGGGTGTGTGTGGACCAAATGACTTCAGCGGAGGGACACGGAGACGGAGGATATGGAAAGCTGGAGCAGAAGAATCCAACAGTGAGGAGTCAGGGATGAACAGTCGATCACAGTTGGCAACGAGCGTGGCAAAACTGGAGCACAGGAGAATGGTCTTAGAAGCAGAATCAAGGTGTCACGCAGAGCGTACAAATGAGCACAAAACTAACATGGGTTTTACAACGATCCAGTGTCAACTTGTGGCTTGCTGGTGTCTTAAATACTGCATGAAGGTCTGTCGGGTGAGTGGCAAGCCACGCCTCGCTGTAGCTAGAGCAATTGCCTGATTGTAATTCTGAACACCTGGTCACTTGTCCCTCTGGCTTGTTGCACAGGAAAGTAAGGGTAACAAAAAAAGTGCTCCACTAGACGGCGCCAAAGGCAGAAGTCATGTCAGAACTGGTTTCCTTAGATTCCTTAGGGGAATAGTAATAAAATTACCAGAATTGGATAGGGCTCTATAAATCTGTCATAAAAAAAAGTCAGACAGGACTATAAGTCTGCGTTAAATTCTAAGAAAAAATCGGACAGGACGATAAGTCTACGATAAAGACAGTCATAACAGGACTTAAAGCTGTTGTAAGAAGTCTGGTAGGACTATAAACTCCACTAACAGAACTGTTTAAAGAAGCGTTGAGGATTGAGACAAATAAAACAATGAAGCAATATAATAAAACAATAAAATGAGACAATAAAACAAGAAAAAACAACAATAAAAATGGGCTCTTCTGAGAGTAAACTCACAGGAGATGCCAAATGCATGCAACAGATTGACCCAAACTCAATAAAACGATTTAAAAAATGGAAAAAGATATATGATTTTGAAGGTAAGCTAGATGAAGGAAAATGCAAAGAACTAGTAGATAAAATAGGAAAAGAATGCTGCCAGCCAGGTGAGGGGATGCCCACGCCCAGCTGCATCGCAAGAGCGGGCAGATCAGCCAGCGCCACAAAACAATCAACAGGAGGGAGCTGTGGGGGCCAGGGGTGGATCTAGAGAAATATTAATGGGGTGGCATATAGACTTTAGGGGGTGGCATACATGTGTATATACATATATTATCTATGGACAATTTAAAATCACCAAATAACCTCATTAAATAAATTTTAAAAAAAATTTCAAACCAAATGTCCAGACACTTTTGCGTGTTCCCAACCAGCCATCAAATTGACACAAAAACTGCTTAAATAAATGTTCCATAAGAAAACATCATTTTTATCTGTCTGGCAATTCTAAATATGAGGTGTTTATTAGCTGTTAATCACAAGCCAGACTTCAGTGCAATACTTGTAGGATGGAAATGTTTTTAACATTTTATTTTTCAACACTACATGTATAACAATAACATTGTGTGGACCACATCTTTCAGCCAAAATAGAAATGGAACAAGTACACTACTCACAATAAGTTAGGGATATTGTTATTTACATGAGTGCTTTTCCTATTTGGTCTGAATTTTAATGAAATAAGTAAAAGTTCCCTTTGATATTACAAATAATGAATGAGAAGAAACACCATTTTCAATAGTTTAATATTTATTACCCCCAAAATTTAAACAATAACAAGGATAGCCCCAAATAACAAAAATTGACAATGTCAGTAGCGGGTGTTTCCATCATTTGTCGCAATGACAGCTTCACAACGACGTCTCATGCTCCTCACTGGCCTCATGATGTTGTTCTGAGGCAATGCGTTCCACTCTTCCACAAGTGCTACACACAGTTCTGCCAGGTCACGTGGGGGTGGAGAACGGTCATCCAGTCTCTGCTTCAGCTGGTCCCAGACGTCCTCTATGGGGTTCAGGTCAGGGGACATTGCTGGCCATACCATATGAGACACTCCGACCTCCTGAAGTTGAGTTGTGACAATTCTGGCACGATGTGGTGGAGCATTGTCATCCATGAACAGAAAGTTGGGGGTGTGCTGGTGGAATTGGGGGATGATGATGGGTGCTATGATGATGGTGATGCCTGCCCAGACTGTTGCACCTCCTCCACCAAAGCGAACCCTGGGGACCATGTTAACCTCGGCATATCGCTCACCTCGCCTTCTCCAGCAACACTGACGACCATCATTTCTGTGCAAGGTGACTCGACACTCATCAGTGAACAGGATGGTAGACCACTGCTGCATTGTCCAGGTCACATGGTCTTGTGCCCACTGCAAACGTTCATGGCGGTGTCTTGGTGTCAGTGGAGTCACCTGCAACGGTCATCTTACATTCAAGCCAAAGCGGTGGAGTCGGTTGCAAATGGTTTGTCTGGAAAACCTAGTACCCCTCACACCTCGTAAACGGGCCTGCAGCTCTGTGGCACTTACATAGCGATGTCTGAGTGCATAGGTCCTGAGGTGCTGGTCATTGTTGTGGTCGGTCACTCTTGGGGCCCCACTCCTGGGTCTGTCACGAACTGTACCAGTAGTTCTGTGTCTTGATGATGACACTTTGAGACACACCAAGTTCACGAGCAAAATCAGTGTCGGGGTTCTATTAGTGTGTGGCAGTTTACTGCATGGTTTCCTGTTGTCTGTGTTGTGCATGTGTTTTCAGGCTGGGCGGAGCTATGATGATGGAGGACTCGCTCGTTAATTCACTGCACCTGGCTCCGGTTACAATCAGCGCTGCTTTTAAGCCAGCTTCTCCCCGCAGTACAGCGCCAGATGATTCATTCAGCTACGAGCGGTTGTTAACCCGAGCTTCTTGTTTCTTTCGTCACCCCAGAGCCTCCACAGCCTGTCGCCGTCTCCTGCCCAGCCCCTACGATCCCGTCACCAGCCTCAGCACTCCGGACGTTTTCACGGGTTGTCCACACCTCGAGCACCTCTCCCTCAGAGCACGGATTTCCCCGCACTGGATACCCCCCCTGGAGTTCTCGGATCCCCCCCCCTCCACTGAAGAGACTGCAAGCACCGACACCTCCCTTTCCCCGCTCCCTGGGTGTTTCACAATAAATCTTATTTCGTCACCACACCCGCGTCCTCTGTCGCATTCTGGGTTCCACCACACCGATTAGGAGCTTCTCCTAACGATCAGACTGCCTGCCACCGACTCGAAGGCGTGCTATGGCCAGGTGGCGCTGCTCGTCCGTTAAGTGACGTCGTGTGTTCATGGCTTTTTGAAAGATGAACTTGAAATGGCTTACTGACAATACCAGCTTTTATACCAACAGAATGTTGAAAATAGTGCCACATTGAAAAGGGTTGTCTTTTAGTTTTTTGGTATTGGCCCCAATATGTAAGGCACACTGTACACAGTGAGACCATTACATGGAAAACACAAAATGAGGTGTGTCTATCACCCCAATACACAGTGGCGGCCGGTATATAGGGGCGCTGTGGGCGGAGCCCCGCCTGAGCTGCGTGAGCCAGCATGAGCAA